CCGCATCCCCGGGGAAAAGACACGCCCCGTACCATGGGCGCGGTCAGTCTGCAGACTGCCTCCCAGGGAGAACTGACCAATAGAAACCCCAAGTCGACAGAGGGGCCTGCCTAATGACTAGGCCAGTGAGTCCAGTGACCCGGGAGCTAGGAAGCCTACCAGCTGTTTCCCTAATCCTGCCTCCTTCGCGTCAGAGATTCAAGACCAAGTTGACGTCACTAAAATGCAATGAAAACGAGCATTTTACTAAAAAGTTCACTTTCCCAGTGGGCTCCTCCGCATAAGCTCCCTACAGATGATTTGTTATGTAAGCCCTCTTTATATATTCCAATACGTCAACTTCACACAGTGATCTCTAATACTTTCTAGACTTGTCCTTTAAGGGACCTTTGTCCTAGTAAAAGTCCAGTAAATAAGTTTTTAAAGATTGCTCTGAACCTGGTAGGATAAAAGGAATTTGGTGATTATCAACACTTGATATTAAAGATGTCAACAGGCAAAACTGGAGGCAATGAATTAAGGTATCTTTATTATTAAGACATGTATACCAGCACTCAGGAGAGTCTTGTCTGTACTACAAAATGAAACTAGTACTCCTATGTCAATGATAAGGACAAAGTGACAAGTTTTTACAAATAGCAAGTTGATATCCACACAGAATTATTGTCTAATTGTAAGAACTAGGCAATTCAGAATAGACACTGCATTTTTCTCACAAACCATGAGAAAAAACTACAATTTTACCAATCAAGAAACACAATTGAAACAGCACAGTAGTGAACACTTTTAATTCCAGCACTCAAGAGACAGAGGCAGGTGGATCTCTGTGAGTTCCAGGCCAGCATGATCTACAAAGTAACTTCCAGGATAGCCAGGGCTATGTAGAAAGACCCTATCTCAAAAAAAATAAATAAATAAAAATAAAAAAATAACAGAAAGGACACCAGTAGTGAGAAGCAAATTGAAAGAAACTAACACTCAAAACCTATTACATTCATTCCCATGTATATGTGGATGGGGGCAGGAGGAAGGGTTGTTTAATTCTGATCTATGAAACAAGGTCTCATGTAACTCAGACTGACCTCAAATTTACCATGTAGAAGACAATGATCTTGAATTCCTGGTTGACTGCTCTTCCAAAGTGGGACTACAAGCATATGGTACTACCCTTGTCTTACAGTCTAATTCACCAAATATTTAAGATATGAAGATGACTCCACTGGTAAAGGCACACAAAGAGCCAAGGCTAACAACCCAAGTTCCAATGCTCTGCCCTCAGTTTTTCACACACTACAGCATGTGCACTCCCACACACATACACGAAGTCTTAAAAAAACATGGAAAAATAAATAAGTAGACCTGGCAAGCTGGCTCAAGAGCTAAAGGCGCTTGAAGTCGGATCCTCCAAAAGCCACTTAAAGGTGAAAGGAGAGAACTAACTCTACCACTGTCCTCTGGCCCCAATACATACATCGTACACACACACACACAATAAATAACTATAAACAAACAAATAAAAATTTAATAAATTATCCACTAAGAAGAGGTACAGTGACAGGACAAATACCATGTTGACTTCAAGTTTGGTGAGTTGCCTTCAGTTGTTTTTGTTGAATGGTTGGTTTATTTTAGGTTTTGTATACTTTTGTTTTAAATTTTCTTTTTTCTTGAATTTTTGAGTAACCAAGAGTTACTCAAACCCTATGTGAATCTGTACTACTTTGTCTACATTTAAGTCTGTGTATATAAGTACAAGCCGGTGGGTAGACAGAGGTGTCTGATCCCATGGAGATAATATTACAGATAGTTGTGAACCATCATATATGGGTGCTGGAAAAAGTAATTCAGGTCATTTGTAGCAGCAGAAAATACTCTTAAACACAGTCTTTAGCCCCTTTGTTTGTTTCCTGAAACAGGGTCTCAATATGTAAGATTGCTGACCTTGAACTACTGAGACCCTCTTCTTGCCCACAATCCCATGAGGACTATCAGGCAGGTCCCTATCTTTGCTCAGTTCTCCAGACATCTGACCTCAGGTTCCTATAGGCACAGAGTTGGTATAAACAGTAATGTCATAGGTTAGAGAAAGGAAAGATCAAGAGGGCAGTACGGTAGGATGGGGCTGTAGCTCAGCTGGGGGAGTGCTTACCTAGCATGCACAAATCAAAGTGCTGTGATTACAGGCAATTGCAACCACAACCTGCTAACAGGATCTCAACGGCACGTAGACTATACTGGACTTCACCATGTAGCCAAGGATATCCTCAAAATTAAAGTGATCCTCCATGGCTCCTTGACTACTAGATTATAGATGTGACTCACCCTGCCTGTTATATAGCAAGATTTAAATTATTTATTTATTTACTTATTTATGGTTTTTTGAGACGAGCTTTCTCTGTATAGCCTTGACTGTCCTGGAACTCACTCTGTAGACCAGGCTAGCCTCGAACTGACAGAGATCCTCCTGCCTCTGCCTCTCAAATACTGGAATTAACAGCATTTGCCACCATGTCTGGTAAACAATTTTATAAATTCAAGTTAGCTATTTAATTTGTACATTTGACACAATCAAGGATCATCTGAGAAGAGGAAATGTCAATTAAGTCAATGCCTCTAACCTGGCAGTATGGCACATACTTTTAATGCCAGTACCTGGGAAGCAAAGGCAGGTGGCTCTGTATGAGTTTTAGGCCAGGCCGGTCTATATACTCAGTTCCAGGCTACCAAGAGTCACATGATGCTGTCACAAAAAAAAAAAAAAAAAGAAAGAAAGAAAAAAGGAAGAAAATACTTCTATTACTGTTGTAGAATATTATTTTAGGTGTGTTACTTTTGTTTATGTGGCATTTGTTTAACTCTATGAAGCTGTGATTCTTTGCCTGTCTAAAACACCTGATAGACTAATCAAGAGGTAAACGGCATAAGAATAAGCCTCCATGTGGGATTTAATTAGGAGCTGGATGGCGAGCACCCCAAAAACCCAAGAGTGAAACATTGCAAAACACATTACACTGGCCAGTAGACAGATCTGTAGTGCATTCTCTTAATTAATGACTGATGTAGGTGTTCCAGCACACCGAGAACGGTGCAACTCTAGCCAATAGTAAAACACTGTGTTAAAAAAACCCCAAAACTGGGAGGTGGTGATGCACACCTTTAATCGCAGAACTAGGGAGGCAGAGAAAGGAAGATATCTGAGTACAAGGACAGTCCATGGTCTACACAGTGAGTTCCAGGAGAGCTAGAACTACACAGAGAAACCTGTCCCAAAAACAAAGTCCCCAAGTATGGATTGCTCTATCACATTGCTATGATACCATTTAACCTCCACTTCTTCCCTCTGCATTCACTAACCATTAATAAATCTTGATTAACTTTCCACTTTCAAGCCGGGCATTGGTGGCGCACGCCTTTAATCCCAGCGGTCGGGAGGCAGAAGCAGGTGGATCTCTGTGAGTTCGAGACCAGCCTGGTCTACAAGAGCTAGTTCCAGGACAGCCTCCAAAGTCACAGAGAAACCCTGTCTCGGGAAAAAAAAAAAAGAAAAACTCTTTCCACGAAGAATTTTTTTTCCTTAAAACGACTGTGACAGTGAAATCTTTTTATTTGTTTGTTTGTTTGAGACAGGGTTTCTCTGTGGCTTTGGAGGCTGTGCTAGAACTAGCTCTTGTAGACCAGACTGGTCTTGAACTCACAGAGATCCACCAGCCCCTGTCTCCCGAGTGCAGGAACTTAAGGCATCCACCACCACAGCCTGGATTGACAATGAAATCTTGGCCACAGTATGAAGAGTGGGCGATGTGCTCCGGCTCCCACTCCCCTACAATCTACAATCCTGTCCAGGTACCTGAGTTTGTTCTTGACGTTGGGAGTCTCAGCTACAATGCCAGCATAAAGCCAGACCTGATTTCCATCTTTGTATTTGGCTACCACGCGACTGCCCACAAACAGCTTGTCAGCAGGAGGGTGATAATCATAGGCAATGTGGTTGCCAGACAGCAGACTCTTCCCTTTGTTGTCAAATTTCACTTTGTATTTCTTTCCCAGCCCTGGGAAAAGGCAAACAAAATTGAAACAAACAAACAACAACACAACTGTAAGTCCTGGGTGCAACGTACGAAGCCAAAGAAAAGGCTCTGGGGAAAAGAATCAGCAATGGACTCACACAGGCTTCCTTTCCTTTTTCCTTCCTCTAGTTTAAACATACCAACAGTCTGGATGGCAATAAGGGTGCTTTGTGCCATGTCTTAGTCCTCTTCTTGCCCAGAATCCGCATACTGACTATCAGGTCCCCATCTTTGCTCAGTTCTCCAGACATCTGACCCAAGGTTCCTACGGGGACAGAGTTGGTATAAAGAGTGATATCATAGGTTAGGGAAAGGAAAGGTAAAGAGAACAGTATGGTAGGGTGGGGCTGTAGCTCAGCTAGGGGGAGTGCTTACCTAGCATCCACAAAGCCCTGAATTTCAATCTAGCTACTGCATATACCTTGCATAGTATTTAATGCCTAAAATCCCAGGCAGGGAAGGCAGGAGGATCACAAATTTTAGGTCATCCTCAGAAAAATATGACGCTCAAGGCCAGCCTGGGATACAGAAGACACTATCAAAGCAAACAAAGAAGGTAGTGCAGAAATAACAAAAGCTGAGTTATCCTGTGACCATTAGCCACTTCTGAACTCTTGAACAAAGGCAGAAACACAAGACGACGCAATTGTTTATGCTAAGAGGAGAAACAGAACACTGAATACAGAACACCTTCAGCATACCCTACCAGCATGAGCCACCGCAACCAACAATTCTGAACTCCTATTAACAGCAACAGGAACCAGAGTGAACAGCCTGAGTCACCACATCGAACAATCTCAGAGTGACTATGGCCATAAAAACAACATTAAAAGAAACTGACAATTAGAACAGGATTTGAAACGCAAAGCTGATTGTCAGTAACATTTCAGAAAGAACTCACCTCTCTCTATCTAGCAACTCCTCAACACTAACCTTTATTTAGATCCTGGGAACTGCTTTTCTTGTTGACAGCATCCATGAACTTCTGGACATCTTGAGCTGATTTTCTTAAGGCAGCCATAGCTTCACGGAGCTGTAGGAAAACAGAAGGGGATAGGGAGGGATGCACATATTAGGAGTTAGGACACAATGAGAAGACCAGGGACTCAGTAAAACAGCACTTGCCTAACATGAGGAGTGACTCCTAATGCTACAAAAAACATAAAATAGGAAAAAGAATACTACCTGGGAAGAACTTGTCTTCAACAACCAAACCAAATTCAATTATATTTGGATATTCGGGGAGAGGCAACTTCTCAATTTTTCTGTTTTCTTGCAATATCTACAAGACGACTGTAACTAATGGGGCCTATTACACATTGAAATTAAACTGACTGTATGCTCAGACCAAAATTATTCCCACTTTCAAAAGCTGCTTCTTCCATTTTTAAAGATAGGGCGATGTGAGCCAGGTGGTAATGTCACAACTTTAATCCCAGCACTCAGGTGGTAGAGGCAGGCAAATCAGAGATCAAGGCTAGCCTGGTTTACAGATTGAGTCCTAGGACAGTAAGGGCTATATAGACAGACCTTGTCTCAAAAAATAAAACAAACTGAAACAAAAAGGATAGGGTCAACTATAGTCCAGGCCTGTGGAGGATGACCCTGAATTTCTAATCTTTCTGCCTGCCTGTCTTGAGTACTAGGATTATAGGCATGCAACAGGACAAATCTGATGGTGCAGTACTGGAAACTGAACCCAAGGCTTCCTGAAACCAGGCAAGCACTGTGCCAAATAACCAACATTTGTAGCCTATCAAATTCATATATATTCTTTTAAACAAGTCTGTCAATTGTTTTAGACAATTAAAAATATCTGTTTTAGATTTATTTATGTGTACTAGTGTTTTGCCTGTATTTATGTGTACCACATATGTGCTTGGTGAAGTCAGGACAGTAGATCCACTGGAATTGGAGTTACAGTGGTTATAAGAGATCATTTGGGTGCTGAGAACTGAACCCAAGTCTTCTGCAAAGGTAGTGAGTACTTTTACACAAAGCCGAAATTCTAGCCACAGATTAATTATTGTTATTGTTATTATTATTACTAAAGTTTTGAGACAGAGGCTCACTGTCCTGGAATTCCCCATGTAGCCTAGGCTGGCCTCAAATTCATTGAGATCCACCTCTCCACTTGCCTCTGTCTTCTCAGAGCTGAGATTAAAGGTGTGCACTACCATGCTTATTGTTTTCTGTTATTATTTTGGTTTTTTTTCCGACAGGGTCTCTCTATACAACCCTAGCTGTCCTGAACTTACTCTGTAAACCAAGCTGGCCTTGAACTCACAGAGGTACACATGCCTCTGCTTCCTTATTAAAGGCATGTGCCCCCACCACCCAGCCAATTTCATGTTTCTTAACTTTTTAAAACCAACCCAACTAACCTGGTCTTTTGGCGATCTGCTTCCAGCATCACCTATGGAAGAAAAGAACTTTAGTATATAGATGTAGGCAATGGAATTTTCAATGAAGCATTAAATAAATGAACTCAAATTTTAAGTAAGAAAACTTTATTGGTAAACGCAATTTAAAAGTCTGGGTGGTGGTGGTAAACATCTTTAATCCCAACAGAGGCAGGTAGATCTCTGTGAGTTTGAGGCCAGGCTGGTTTACGGGTGAGTTCCAGGACAGCCAATGATACACAGAGGGATACCGTCTCAACAAAACAAAACAATGGAAAAGAAACAAGTCTGGGGATGTGGCTCAATGGTAGAATGCTTGCATAGCAGGAGGCTAGTTTACACAGGGAGCTACATATCAGGAACACATAATCGAAACACCACACCGAACAAACAAGCCAAGGACTAGAGAGGGCTTAGTGGTTGGTTACAAGGTCTGCTTTTTTTTTTTTTTTTTTTAATTTTATTTATTATGTATACAACATTCTGCTTCCATGTATATCTGCACACCAGAAGAGGGCACCAGATCTCATAACAGATGGTTTTGAGCCACCATGTGGTTGCTGGGATTTGAACTCAGGACCTCTGGAAGAGCAGTCGGTGCTCTTCACCTCCGAGTCATCTCTCCAGCACCACAAGGTCTGCTTTTACAGGACCCAGGAATGGTTCCTAGTACCCATGTCAGCAGCTTACACTGGTCACAATACATCTCAGAGAATCTGGTGCCCTCTTCTGAGCTGAGTCCAGTTATACTCACATACACATTCCCAAACACAGACAGACATCACACCTCTAAAAAAAACAAATTTATTTAGTTATTTATTATGTATGCATGTATGCCTGCACTACAGAAGAGAGCCCCAGATCTCATTTTTGATGGTTGTGAGTCACCATGTGGTTGCTGAAATTGAACCTGAGTCCTCTGAAAGAACAGCCAGTGCTCTTTACCACTGAGCCATCGCTCCCAACACTTTTTTTTAACACATAGTTTTAAAAAAATAATAAAAATAAATTGCTTAAGAGCAAAGCAACTTTTAAACCCCCAAACCAACTAAATGAATAATATAGGAGAGATCACATTTTCTGGTAACATATGAGTCCCTCTAGGCTCCATTTCTAGGACTGGAGACAAGGAGTAGTGAAAGAGGAGATAAAAACAGTAAATGCCGTAGGGCATTGGTGGCGCAGGCCTTTAATCCCTGCACTCAGGAGGCAGAGGCAGGCAGATCTCTGTGAGTTCGAGGCCAGTCTGGTCTCCAGAGCAAGTGCCAGGATCGGCTCCAAAGCTACACAGAGAAACCCTGTCTCAACCCCCCCCCCCAAAAAA